CATTTGGCTGGAGCGCATATAATGAATCGTGGCCTGGTTGTGGAATGTCTTCATATGGTAAAGGGTGTAGTTCCTCAGGGCGCTCTGCATGCGTTCGTTCTTGGGGAAGATGGACTTGGGCACGCCTACTGGAATCTCTGTAATGTCGGCAGCACTGTCCCAAATCTGGCAAACGAAGCGCTCCAGGATACTGCCATAGCGATCCATATCGCGCGACATCTGCAGCATAATCTCGCCCAACTGGTATGCTCCAACGGAGAAGCCATGCATTACGATCGGTTCATACGATGCGTTGTTCTCGAGAAACTTGAGAGTCTCGGCGGCCACCACCTTGAATATGCAATCGAATGTTTTAGTGACTAATTGTGATTGTTGGCACAGGTGGTAGTTGAATGGTTATAGATTTTCTAACCTGAGTTCCCTTAACGGGCCACAACAGCTGCCAGGGCGTAATGTGCACCACCATCACATCGAAGCCCATTTCTGTGTAGATCTGGGCATATTTCTTCAGATGTTTCTGCTTGGCCATCAGCCAGGCCATCATCAGAACCAGGGGATTGCCAGTCGGGTTCTTAAACGCAAGCGTCTTGGGATCCACTTCGATCTTCGTTTTGTTGCTAGTATAGAGAGTCATGTTTTTGGTAATATCTTGGGAAGATATATACCGGCGATTCGTCAACGGTGCCATGGCGCTCTGAAAACACACGGTATAGACAGTAGTCGGATATATTTTCCCAATGGTTGTTATGGGGTAATCTATGTATTTAGTTTTTAAACCATAGTTTGGATAGGTCCAGTTGTTGGTTCAATCAATGCCCGATTAGATAGGAAATATAATATAGGAGTGGACAGCGTGGCCTGATCGGTTAGAATCTCATCGAATGATTAGATTGGGCATGGAGTGGGATTGGGTAATGTACCTATATATATCCATGCAAATTTGATAAAGCTAAAGCTAAAGCTGACCTTGATTATGCCACTTTACACGTGATAATAAGACCAAGTTATTGATAAATCGCAGAGCCTACTCGTATTTACAGAAACTGCAACCGGTACTGGCGGAGTGGTAAGATTAGATGAGATACAGATTCCATCGAGCGTTGATGTCTGGTTATATAGCTAAAGGACAGGCACTTCAAAATCGAACGTTACACTTGAATGATAATAATTATATCCAATAATGGATCTGCATTCGCCGTGTCATTTTCGTATTAATGATTATTACCGAGTTATCTGGAGCTGCCGTTACCAAGCGTCAATTTCCCTCTAATGCTGAATACTAAATGAAAGGGGAGCGAAGGTTTGGCTTATGTTTTCGATTCAGGGATCTTTTTTTCCGGTGGCTAAGACCTCTAAACCGACTGATAGCACCTGTGTCTGAAGATAGGCGGGCAAACCTGACGATAAGGAGTTGCAATTTAGATTAGTGGAATAATTTCCAGCTGCGCTAGTTTCCGCTTTCCGTACCAAGAACGAACAGGCGAAGAAGAATGTCACATAATTTAAGCAGCAAACAACGGAATATCAGAGAATTGGGGAGGAGGACCGGACAAAGAGAGAGACTTTCGCTTTGGTTTGACATTTTGAACTTGAACTTTCGGTTCACGGCCACTCACACGTTTCAGACGTCGATAGACCTTAAGTAATACCACCACTAGTACGACCAATAATGTAATTCCAATTAGGAAATCCATTATGGCAACGAAGATGCCCAGGGCAGCAGGTGCAACGACGGACTAAGCGACACGATATATCCAGTAGTCCGATCGTGGATAGCTTAGTGGAATTCAGCGGAGCTTACTTCCAATGGAAAATAGTTATTCTTTTGTGCTTGTGTGTGAGGAGAGTCCCCGTGTGTATACATATTAGGGATCAGAGTGGCGGTTTGTGGCGTCGGCTTGAATTACATTGCGGCAGCACTGGAAGGGGTAGAAGTAGAGTGGCTCGACTAGAAAATACCCAAATACTCTCGGCTCGAAACTACAGTACTGGTAGATTCGAGTCCATATTTGTATATAGGAGCTTATTGTAGAGCCTTTCTATTGAATCTTCGCAAGAATCAGTCGGCTCTTTTAGATGTCTTTTGGTATTGAAATACTTATTAGTCAAGAACCCAATATACCCCTGTGTCCATTTAATTCCAGGTATAATCAACATGTGCCTTGGAACTCATGAGAGTGCCACACGCTTTGGGGGCTCTGGGCGAAAGCTTGGCATTGAGCGCCATTATGATGTGTGTATATCATGGAAAAAGCTGCCACTGCTGCTGCTGGCCCCAATTGAGCGTGCTTGATCGAAGCTTGCTGGGCGAGGGTGGTTCCAAGAGTACTCCCAAGGATACGATACGGATTCCAGCACAACATTTCGTAATCGACATTCTCCAATGGCCATCATTTTCCAGTTACTTCAAGCGTTAAATGGTCCTCAACAAATTGCAGGCAATTAAAAACCCAATAAAATATTTTTAAAATATATGTATATATGTATGTATACCACCTAATCGGTATACAAAATCTGAGAAAGAAGTATAGAGGGAGAGAGCAATCATATACACGGTTCAAAGTACAGAGGAAATCAATTCATGCATGCAAATTCAAAAATGAAAAGAAGTGAAGAGAACAGATCAGAAGCAACACGAAGGAACCCACACAATTATAAGGCAGAAGCAAGTTCATAGGCAAGAGGAGGGTGGGGTTATTAGGGCAATTACAGGTTAAAGTTCAATTAAAAGCCAACAAGATGAAAAATATAATGGAATATGTAATGTAATGCTTACATGTGCCACCTGCGGCCCGCCGGTGCTCAAGCTCGAGAAATTGCGAGATAGCGGCCGTTGGATCTCCCGGTACGCGGCCATCGGTCGCAGCAGACCGGTGGATATGGCGCCCCCGCACCCACTGAAGAAATTGTCCGCGTAGACATTCTCGTACGGAACAGCGCCAGCGCTCCGGCTATTTTGTGCTGTGCATGAGGCAGGCGAATGGCGGATTGGGATGGGGACAGACAAATAAATATGTATAAATAAACGTGAGTTGAATGGTTTCATCTTCAAATAGAGCAGCATTCTAAATTCAAACATTTACCACCAAAGGAAAGGCCCACAGCTAACGTTGCGGCTGTCCGGCCGGCAGCGAACGGTAGACTTATCGATTTTTTTGCTGCAGTTGCGTAAAATGCAGTGCGAAGGAAGTGCGCAGCCATGGCCGTGGAGTGAGAGGGGGATCAGATCAGATCGGTGTGAACGACTTGCACAAGAAGCGGTTGGACAGAAACTGCAAAAACAGGCACATTCAGATTTGGATTCATTTTAATTCCTTTATGCATTTGTATGTGTAGTCTGAATGAATACCCTCACGAGGGGCAACATAGTTTTGTAAAGCACAATGAAAGGCAGCTTCATTCAGGTAATAGCAATAACGCACATCTATCTATAGTCTTTTGTTCTCAACGAGGCAGCTTCAACATCAAATTTAAACGGAACACATCGCTATTATCAATGTATTTACTATAAAATTTAACTATTTAAATCTCCAAAACGGTAAGGGTATACTCGCGTCGGTCCACCGAAATTTTCGCTCATGCGTTTTCGTATTCATGTTGGAGAGCCACAGACAATACACAGACACAGCGGGCTAATGCACACGAAACGAACTTTGTACCCTGCGCATTTGCGGCTGGCTGGCTGCAGACGGGTTTCAATTTATAAATTGATAAAAATTTCGTTTGTGCCCAACGACGAGATGCGTGTCTTGAACGTTCCTCTTCGAGAAAGTACACTTAAGAACGTTCGTGGGCGTTTGCATGTTTGGAAAATTGATGAACATTAACAGCCAGAATCGATCGCGGTGCCACTTACGCCTGCAGACGAGCTCTCCGTGTTTACTCTGTTTAAACTAAAATTTTTAGATTTATTTAATTCCGCATCAGCAGTGTATCAAAACGAACTTAACCCGCTTAAGCCCCCCTGTATAACAACTTGAGTTAAACCGCGAAAAATGATACAAGTAATAATTATAATAGTAATAAATCTTGTAGGTCCATCTTATCCTTCAACTTTGCATACAAAAACCCACGATATCTTGCACCAGAACTGCGCTAAAATTATTAAAATTGTTCATATTAAAATACCCTCTTAGTCTACAATGGGTTAATAATGCTCCGTCAAGGATTGGAAACTATTTTCCTCGATTATGATATTCGATTTGATATTACTAGCTAGAAAGAACCCTCAGCCCTGCCCACAGAATTTTATCCGATTAATTAACCTATTTTCTACTTGACTGGCTTATTTTAAACATACATGTATGCTTTTATTCGATTTTGCCTAAAAAAAGGTTTTAGCGAAAAAGGTCAAACAAAAAACAACGAAAGGGGATAGGTGTTCCTATTGTTCAATGTTGATATTCTGTCCAATATTACTAGCTATGTATATAGAACATTCATCCATGCCCACATCATTTTATAAGATTGATGAATACATTTTGTTCAGGACTAACTACTTTTAAGTACTCACATTTACTGTATTTTGTCTAAAACACGGTTTAAACGAAATGTTCAACAAAAAACCAGACGAAATGTTGATTGAAAAATAGTGCTGCCACCCTTTCGGCATAACGGGTGCACTTTTAAAAAGGCCGCCATATCTTCGCTCAAAGTTTAAAAATTTAAATATATACATACTATAAATGAATATCCGTTAAGATTCTGATGCTAATTAACCAACTGTAGTACTCATTCTACGGCAAACACCTCACATTATTGTTTCATATCCAGAGCTGTGGTTACTATGTCAATGCCAATGCCCTCCAAAATTTCCATACAAAACAGAGTCCTCCCAGAGTAGTCCTTGACAATGACCCAGCGCCTTGGAGATCTAGTGTTCTTTAACCAAACAAACTTCAAACTTTGTTCAATCGATGTGAAAATTCTCGTACCTTTAATTCAGTCAAAGTTCTGAAGCGTTCCTGTTGAGAGCAAAAATAAATATATTTTTCGTCTAACATTTTCGTACATTTTATATCATCATGGCTTTCCATTCGGTGGTCACAATGGAGAAGCCGCTGCAGCATATCTCGCTGACGGATTGGCATGCTCGCGTTAGCCAGCTGCGGAATGTTGCAGATGCCCGTCGATCGGACGCCTTCGCCATACGCCACGCATCGCGTTCGTTGCGGAACGAGACCAGGATCGAAGGCGACTGGGCCAACTATGAGACCAATGAGAGCCTAACAGACCGGTGAGAAGGGGTTTTAGTTCTACGGGCTAAGTTTGACTGCTGTCTCTGTTTCAGTATATCCGAGCTGAATCGTTGGCGCGACATCATATCGAAGACATTTGAGCGTATTGAGCGCGAGATTTACCTGCTCCAGGAGGAGAAAAATGCAACCGAACGCGAGCTGGAGACGCTGACTGGTCCCATATCGGTCATTGCCGAGTGCCTGACCATGCGTGATGGCCGTCTTGGCTCTGAGATGACCTACGATGAGGCCGACACGGAGATCAAGAACGAGCTGGCCATTTTGGAGAACAATCAACGATTGCTGGCCGACCGCTGCCAGAAGGCTTGGGAGAAGCTGACTCGCCTGGAGGAGGTGCGCTTCAAGATCGGCATGGAGATCGACAACAAACTGGAAGCAGTCGAGCTAGACAATTCACAATTGGCTTTGGACCGCAACGCCGCCAACATTTCTTACAAGCCGGATCCCACCAGGAATCCAAAGAAGTGAGTAGCCTCTCAATCGTACGAATTTTGTGAAGCACTGTGAGATGGTGATTCTTTGTAGCTCGTGTTCCTACGAGACCTGGTTGGAGCATGTGAAGAACATGAAGCAGCTGGCGGAGAATGAGCTGGCCGACACTTATGCCATTCGTGAGGCTTTGTTCGTGTGCCGTGAGAAAGCCCGCAACATGCTCCAGTCGCAGCAGGAGCGCGCCGAGCACACCATTCGCAAGCGCATCTTCGAGACCCAGCGCGCACGCAACGAACTCGAGTGGCAGAAGATGAAAATGAAGGACGAAATGGAGCAGGCGGTTTGTGAGATCAAGACGCTGGAGCAGGCGTTGCGTGACAAGTCCGACGGATTGAAGTTGGCCGAAACACGGCTGGAGAATCGTGCCCAACGCTCGGGCATGGAGCTGTGCATGGACCAAGCTCACGAGATGCTCTGTGTGGAGGTGGAGAAGCTCCGTGAGATCCGCCGTCGTCTGATTGCCAAGATTGAGGAAAGCAAGGCCAATTACAACCTCATGGAGGAGCATGCCCAGAAGATCGATGTGGATCTGGAAAACAAGCAACATTCCTTGATGACTGACATACGGGCCCTCGACTTGCGCCAACGTCTCAAGGGTGGCGAGTTCGGCCTGAAGATCGCTAATCCGAGTGCCCAGACAGACAGGAACATTGTGCTCACGCGCATGGAGGATGAGATTCCAAAGACATAAAATGTTAAGCTGATAATCGCCGTTTCAAAGTTTTCTGTTTCCCAGTTTGATTCTTTGTTTAATTGTCCAAATTTATGTGAATTAATGAACATTTATATGCGCAGTTCATCTCTTTTCTTGTGAAAAGCCAAAGTTCAGCTGGCCCAGTAATGGCTTGAAATCTGTACTCCACGCCACACGGCCGGAAAGGTCGGTGGGTTTCCTTGGAAAGTGCACGCCCTGGCGCACAAACATATCCCACTTGACAAACTCGCCTGGAACTACTGCTTCGCTGGGGCCGGTGCTTACGATGGACTTGGGATTGTTGGTCTTATCCAAATGCCAGTCCACCCAAAGAGCAATTCCATTGCACACACCCGATCTGGAAAATGAATATATAGATCATGCGCTGATTACTGCCAGAGATTCCAATGATTAAGACTTACTGCGTCAGCTCTATGCTTCCCTGGAGATGGTGCTCGACATTGAAGTTGGCAAAGTCAACGCTGAGAAGCTGCTGGGGCTCGGCTAGCGCGCGACTAGGATACTCCCACAATGGTTGCGCCTCCACCAGGGACACTGCCTGTTCAGCGGATCTCTGTAAGTAATGCAATTCGTAAAAGTCTCACGGGAGTCAGCAAAATCCATCAAAATCACATTTACCTCGACCATTTCATCAAAGAGACGTAGATCGAACCCTTCGCAGCTCCCAACAGGAGCACGAATCTTGTGCAAATCCAAGAACTCCACGGGCAGGGCAAATATTCTCGCCTCACATGGCGAAATCTCCACTTTCTCCGGTAGTTTATCCTTTAGTTTCATCAGCAATGTGCCAAAGTAAAAGTTATCCCAAGGCAGAATAGCATTGAGGAAGTAGGGTTCAGCAAAGACATGGCTCAGAGCGATCAATTCAGTGTCCTCCAGTTGCTCAACGTTCTCCACATACTTAACATTCTTCAATTCGTTGTGCTGCACAATTGAGTCGATCAGACGGCGTGAGAATCGATGTGGCTCGTGAAGCTGAACCGAGGCTGCCCCAAGGGCCGCGCTAGCCAGCCCTAGCATACAGCCATTTCCTAGGACCAGGACGTTCGATTGTTTTGGCACTATGGTCGCCTCCAGGTATCGCAGGTAACGTTTGTTGCGTATGGCCTGATTTAGCTGGCCGATTCTGCTGCGGGAGTAGGTCATGTGCAGGTCACAGGAGCAGGTATGCCGACGCACGGTTTTGGCCGGAGCCTCCAGCATAGCATCAAACCAGAGCGAGTACTCATCGTGGTGACAGCTCAAGTAGAAGTCCTGACCAGCAGTGGCCAACTGCGGCGGTTTGGGCACGTAATAGATGGCCTGCATCCAGTGATCCCGCCAGGGCACTACATTGGCCACAGGTACGCGTTCTTCCTTGCTGGCAGACAACTCGTTGAGCTCCGGATGGGCCCAGTACGGAGCACAGCTGAGCAGGATTTCCCCTTGATCGTCCAGTTGTATATCCCACCAGTAGAACACCAGCTCCGCGGCACCCGGCTGACTCGCCTGCAGCTGCACCAGTTTCTCCCTCTGCTTCTCTCTCTTTTCTTTACGCTGAAAATCGAGCTGGAAGATCTCGATGGGCTCTGTCAGCAGGCGAAAGGTGCCGGCCGGCAGCTGCGAGAGCTGAACATCATGAAGAGCAGCCTCTCCCTTGCAGCTCTTCAACTGTTCTGGCGGACGGAGCAAGGCTTCACCATCCAGACTAGGGAGAATCTTTAGGCTGTTCCATTGCGAGGCCAGCGGCGACTGAGCCACCTGGGCGTAGCACCTGGCGCGGGCCGGTATGCACAGAGCGTCATCGGTGAGCAGCTCGGCATGGGCATGATTGTAGATGCTGATGGCGCCCTCGCCAATCAGCTCTGTGTCCAGCAGCTCAGCTACCAAGAGATTCGCCCGCTGTGGCATGTCCAAGTCCGCGCCAATTTTTATGTCTGTGGAGCGTTTTCGAATCAGCTGCACCTTGTCACCGACTCCATTGTCGGTGAATATTTTGGCAGCACAATTTGCCATGGGCAGAAATGCCTCGCAGGCCGTGACGGAGTCCGCCCCAGCTTTTAAGGCCATCATTGAGAGTATGCCGGTCCCGGTGCCAATGTCCAGGACATGTACTTCCCTTCCTGCGGCACGCATTCCCTTAATGGTTTTCCTTAGAGCCGCGAAATACTTCTGATTCCTCTCCCAGTCGTGCAGCATGTCGCCGAAGCCGGCATTGGCCACCTCCTGATGGTAATCGTAGTCGTCCTCGCGCTCCTGCCATGAGTTTTCACCCGTTATGGGGTTCATCACGTGGGAAAAGCAGGACATCGGACGGATTGGCAATAAATGTGTTTTTAAAAAATTTTTTAACATTAAAACGCGACCGGCAACAGCTGTTCTCTCAACGCTGCCACCTTCGTAAAAAAGCAAACTATCTGGTAGCACTGACGATGAAGAATATCGATTGCAGAGCAGTGCGATGAATCACGATGTTAATGGCAAGCACCGGCTGCGGCGCCAATTCAATGGAAACAAAGTATTGGAGGAAAACTTGTACAATTTTATTGTGGAGATGATAATTTCTTAATACTATTTTACGTGTACATTAATTTTATTATGTGTTAGAAGTCCTGGTCGAGCCGCCGCTTAACTCCTGCCATCAGTTTAACACGATGGCGCAGTTGAAGGTGTCTCAAGCCGCAGATGCGTCCATTTGGAGTCTCGGCGTCCCATGTCCTATCGAAAAGTGAACTGCTTGCCAGACACCTGTTGACGCTGGTTTTATAATTTTTACCAATTGCAGTGTTTCGATTGAGTTCAGACCAACAATTAAACATGTAATCCAGAAGAGAGATGCCTAAAACAATCAGCACTAGACTTGCGGGATTTACTGGCAGATACGACAGAGAACTATCCATTGTGTGATGTAGACTTGACGGGCGTCCTGATTCGACTGATGTTCGCATTCTCCCGCCATCGAATATATATGCAGAACAGGTAAGTTTTCATTTTAGCTTTCTAATGGTGGCGGACATGGCAATTACCTGCACATACATACCTGCAGAGAAGTAAAAGGGACCACATTTGCTTGGTAAACAAAGCCATAAACTGCTAATCTGTTTGTTTTTGATCGATTGAACAACTACCCTTACCTTTTTGATACCTTCATATGTGTGGAAGTGATCAATTTATAATGTGGTGTGTATCGGAATCTTGGAATTTTCAATACCGTAATTAGCTAATTGTTCCGATATTACACACACCAATTGAAGGAATTCCATCAATTCAGTTACACGAGTAGGCCCAACGAGAACAGTTCAAGAGGCACAGGACAATGGGGATACTTTTGATGCTGGACATCTTCCAATGGTTCGCCGTTCTCATCGGTTTGACCTCTTACAGGCTGGTCGATGATAGATTTATTCAAACACGAATAGCCAAGGCTTACACTTTGATCCTTAACGTTATCACGGTGACAATGCTGCCGGTGGCTCTTATGTCGGCTGTTAAATTGTATTACGTGGCTGTTTGGCTGCCGCGATTCATGTGGATAACTCCTTTCGTCCTTTATGCGGTGAACTACGTGGTCATTGTCCAAACATTGATCTCGCGCTGTCATCGGGACAGCATACTGATGGAGCTACACCATTTGGTGGTGAAATTGAACCGCGAGATGGGCCGAGCTGAAAAGAAGATGAACTCGAAGCTTCGGAGGCTCTTCTATGTAAAGACCTTGACTACGTCGTATCTGAGTCTGTGCTATATTCTGGGAACATTCCTATTCAGTGACGAACTCACTTTTTCCATGATGCTCAGCGCCTTTCTAATTAACAATGGATACAACATCTTGATTGCCACAACACACTTCTACTTTGTGGCGTTCTGGCAAGTTGCTCGAGGATATGATTTCGTGAACCAGCAACTGGAGGAGCTCATCTCCACACCCTCGCCGTTAACATCTAGATATACAGAGGAGATGCGAAGTCTATGGTCTTTTCACGCCAGCCTCAGCCAGACAGCGCACAAGATAAACAGGATCTACGGTCGTCAGATGTTAGCATCCCGTTTCGACTATATTATATTCACTGTCATCAATGGCTATATTGGTACGATTTACACGAGCAGTGAACCGACGACTTTATTCGCAAAATGTTATGGAGGTCTTCTCTATTGGATACGGACGGTGGACTTTTTCATGACCGACTATATATGCGATTTGGTGGCTCAGTACCAGAGCATGCCGAAGCACACCGCTAGCGAGGGCGTCATGTCTAACGAGGTATTTCAAAGAAACCACCAGACCACCTAGAAACTACCTCTTAAAGTACCATTTAATTTCCAGCTATGTTCGTATGTGATCTACCAAAACAGCATGAATCTTAATTTGAAGATTTGCGGCCTCTTCCCAGCCAATCGAAAACAGTGGCTTAACATGATGGGGGCTATTCTATGCCACTCCGTAATGCTTCTTCAGTACCATTTGATGATGTCCGCTAAGCAACACAATCAATAAAAATACTAATAATGCACGATTCTATCGTTCCACTTATTGATTAGTTTCATCGAAAAGGTTCTAGATACGAATCCACTGCGCATCACCACTAGGCCTGCCATCGAGCACTTTATTTTAGTTTATTAACTAAGCAAAAGGAATTCAGTTGAGCTTCGACTCTGGCGGGCAGAGCATCCGGTCATGTCTGATTTGTTGGTGCAAATATATTTCGGATACGCGCTGGCTATAGGCATAACTTCGAATCGGATGGTAGGCTCAATCTTTAAGCAGACATGTTTCTCCAGATGTTATGCACTGGTCGTGAATATCGCAACCCTCGTGCTAACTCCACCACTTCTTTGGGAGTCACGGAATGGTTTTCGGGGATCTCATTCCTACCCAAAACTTATTTTGATCACCTTCCATGTGCGATACCTGGTCGCGTATGCGGTCATATTATATACGGTATTATCGCGCGGCTTTCGGGACAGAGCCCTAAAGGAGGTGCAGCCCCTTCTCATCAAGTTAATGCACGAGGAAAAGCGTAATGGAAGGCAGAGGCTCAGACGATCCCTCCTGCTGCCCCTCTACCTGAAGTTCTTCATGGCGATTTACATGTGCTTGACTATATGGATATTCCACTTTTACTCTGGCCCGGAAATTAATTGGAAGACAATAGCTAAAATTATATTTCTAGGCAATGCCCTCAACATCCTAGAGATCGTCCCCATGGGCTACTTTTTGGCACTGTGGCACATTGCCAGTGGCTATAACTTTGTCAACCAACGGTTGGACGCAATCATGGCATCCACTCCCGTTGATTTGGAGGAACTACAAAACATTTGGTCGCTTCATGCTGCATTAACCAGAACAGCGAAAAGGGTCAATAAGATATATGGCCTTCAGATGCTGGCAAATCGCTTCGATAACTTTATTTACGGTGTGATCAATGCCTACTGGGGAACGTTTTTCACCTTCGACGCCGATACGAATTTTGTATGGGTGGTCATTGGTTCCGTCACGTATTGGATCCGATGCGTGGACTCTTATTTGATCGACCACATGAGCGACTTGGTCATGCGATACCAGAACTCACCAAAGCATGCCTGGAGCGAAAGATGCTGGTCGCAAGAGGTAAGCTGAAAATAGTTCGAATTGATTTCACTTACATATTAATTGAGAATCGTTTACCACAGATCAACTCCTATGTGACCTATGTTAGCAGCTCCAAGCTACAGCTTCGAACATGTGGCCTCTATCAAGAGAATCGAAGTCTATGGTTCGAAACGATTAGTAGCATTTTGTATTACTATATAATGCTCCTACAGTTTCACCTGGTGATGAGGAATTAATCGACAGGAGATGGCATTCCTGTGGCAGATGCTCTATTCTATAATACTATTGCTTGAAATCCTCCTTTATGTAGAGAGAATTTTATAAAATATAGATTTTCTTAATTGAATATTAGGGATAGGCAGATTTTAAGCTTTCTAATGTTGGTGGATACCACAATTACCTGAATGTAGGGTTGTCAAATGGTCTGGTCCACAATTGCTTGGTAAAAAAAACCATAAAGTGCTAATCTGTTTGTTTTTTATCGATTGAAAAACTACCCTTTTTGTTACCTTCATATGTCTGGAAGTGATCAATTTATAATGTGCTGTGTATCGGAATCTTGGAATTTTCAATACCATAATTAGCTAATTGTTCCGATATTACACACACCAATTGAAGGAATTCCCGCAATTCAGTTACACGAGTAAGCCCAACGAGAGTAGTTCAAGAGGCACAGGACAATGGGGATACTTTTGATGCTGAACATCTTCCAATGGTTCGCCGTTCTCATCGGTTTGACCTCATACAGGCTGGTTGATGACAGATTTATTCAAACACGAAAAGCCAAGGCTTACACTCTCATCCTCAACGTCATCACGGTGACAATGCTGCCGGTGGCTCTTGTGTCGATGGTTGACTATTTTGACGTGGCTGGTTGGCTGCCGCGATTCATGTGGATAACTCCTTTCGTCCTTTATGCGGTGAACTACGTGGTCATTGTCCAAACACTGATCTCGCGCTGTCATCGGGACAGCATACTGATGGAGCTACACCATTTGGTGGTGAAATTGAACCGCGAGATGGGCCGAGCTGAAAAGAAGATGAACTCGAAGCTTCGGAGGCTCTTCTATATAAAGACCTTGACTACGTCGTATCTGAGTCTGTGCTATGTATTGGGAACATTCCTGTCCACCAATGAATTAACTTTTTCCATGATGCTCAGCGCCATTCTAATTAACAACAGCTACAACATCTTGATTGCCACAACACACTTCTACTTTGTGTCGTTCTGGCAAGTTGCTCGAGGATATGATTTCGTGAACCAGCAACTGGAGGAGCTCATCTCCACACGCTCTCCGCTAACATCTGGTTACGCTGAGGAGCTCCGAAATCTATGGTCTCTTCACGCCAGCCTCAGCCAGACAGCGCACAAGATAAACCGGATCTACGGTCGCCAGATGTTAGCCTCCCGTTTCGACTATATTACATTCACTGTCATCAATGGCTACCTTGGTCTGATGTACTCGAGCAACGAACCCACTAATTTATTTGAAAAATGTTATGAAGGTCTTCTCTATTTGATACGGACGGTGGACTTTTTCATGACCGACTATATATGCGATTTGGTGGCTCAGTACCAGAGCATGCCGAAGCACACCGCTAGCGAGGGCGTCATATCTAACGAGGTATTTCAAAGAACACACCAGACCACCTAGAAACTACCTCCTAAAGTTCCATTTAATTTCCAGCTAAGTTCGTATGTGATCTACCAAAACAGCATGAATCTTAATTTGAAGGTTTGCGGTCTCTTCCCAGCCAATCGAAAACAGTGGCTTAACATGATGGGGGCTATTCTATGCCACTCCGTAATGCTTCTTCAGTACCATTTGATGATGTCCGCTAAGCAACACAATCAATAAAAATACTAACAATGCATCATTCTATCATGTGGACATGTGGTCTCTATCAAGAGAATCGAAGTCTATGGTTCGAAAGGATTAGTAGCATTTTGTATTACTATATAATGCTCCTACGGTTTCACCTGGTGATGAGGAATTAATCGACAGGAGATGTCATTCCTGTGGCAGATGCTCTCTTCTATAATACTATTGTTCCGAAATTTGCTTGGAATTCTTCTTTATTTTGAGAGAATTTCATAAGATATAGTTTTGCTTAATTGAAAATTGGGGATAGGCAGATTTTAAGCTTTCTAATGTTGGTGGATACCACAATTACCTGACTGTAGGGTTGTCAAATGGTCTGGTCCACATTTGCTTGGTAAACAAAACCATAAAGTTAAACTGTTTGTTTTGATCGATTCAACCATTACCCTTCTGGAAAAAGGGTGCAAAAGTTTGGCTTTAACCTTATATTTCTGAAATTCACTTTTTAATGTGCTGAGTATCGGAATATTGAAATCTGCTTCAAAGATAACTACAATTAGCTAATTGTTGCGGCATAAAACACCCTACTAGAGGGAATTGCAGCCATTTAGTTGCACTACGAGTTTCAAACAGAACAGTTCATTCTGGACAGGAAATGGGGAGATTTTTGCTGCTGGATATCTTCCAATGGTTCGCCGTGATCATTGGTTTGACATCGTACAGGGTGGTCGATGATAGATTTGTTCAAACACGTCTAAGCAGAATGTACACGCTGATCGTCAACGTCATCACGGTTACAATGCTGCCGGCGGCTACTTTGGATTTGTTCAATTCATTTTCGATGGGCTTCTGGCTGCCGCAGTTCATGTGGATTACTCCCTACGTTCTTCATGCGGTAAACTATGCTGTCATCGTCCACACTCTGATCTTTCGTGGCCATCGAAACATCATACAGGTGGAGCTGCACCATTTGAGTGTTAAATTGAACCGCGAGATGGGCCGTGCCGGAAAGCAGATGAACTCGACGTTACGAAGGTTGTTCTATTTAAAGACCTTGACCTTGTCGTGCATGTGCTTGTGGCATTTTCTGCAAACCTTTATATTCATTGACGTCTCCTCTCTTTCAAAGATTCTCGGCTTAATTATAATTAACAGTGGCTTTATGATTTTGATGTCTATCGTACACTGCTACTTTGTGTCGTTATGGAAAGTTGCTATAGGATATGATTTCGTGAACCAGCAACTGGAGGAACTCATCGCCACACGCTCGCCGCTAACATCCAGATACGCGGAGGAGCTGCGAAGTCTATGGTCTCTTCACGCCAGTCTCAGCCTCACAGCGCACAGATAAACAGGATCTACGGCCGCCAGATGTTAGCTTCACGCTTCGAATATATTACATTCACTGCGTTCGATAGCTACATGGAAATTATTTACTATTTTGGTGAATCGGCGCCTGCAATAAGTAAATGCTTTGGCATTAGCTTCTTTTCTATACGCACAATAGACTTTTTTATGGCCGACTATATATGCGATTTGGTGGCTCAGTACCAGAGCATGCCGAAGCACACCGCTAGCGAGGGCGTCATGTCTAACGAGGTATTTCAAAGAACACACCAGACCACCTAGAAACTAACTCCTAAAGTTCCATTTAATTTCCAGCTAAGTTCGTATGTGATCTACCAAAACAGCATGAATCTTAATTTGAAGATTTGCGGCCTCTTCCCAGCCAATCGAAAACAGTGGCTTAACATGATGGCATGTATCTTAGGCAACTCTGCGGTGCTCATGCAGTACCATCTGATGATGTCCGGCAAAGAGGAAAAGTTCTTCAAGTCATAAACCCAGCGATTGGAAAACTTATAGAAGCATAAGAACATGTCCTATTCGATACTTCAGGACTAGGAACATTACTTTAGTTATAGGTATAACTTCGAATCGATTTGCGGACTCAACCGTCGAGCACAAATGGCTAATCTCAATTTGAATATTATAGCAAATAGTATTACTGCAATCTCCCAGCAGGTAACCCTCTAAATGGGGTTGCAATTTCCCTTGGCCAAGATACTGTTGTTTTAACGTATTCTTATGCTCACGTTTCAACCGCTTGGGGCCAAAATTTGAACACCAACCGACAGCCAGAGCAAAATGTGCGACGCTACAGGAGCCAATAATTTCCTGCTCGATAATTTCCAAATGAATGCGTTCAGCAAATAAATTCTGCTTTGACAGCACTCAGAGATGAATTTAAAACGAAATCACGTTCTGCTGTTGCACACATACTTTTTGGCGTATGCACATCTGCTCTACGTACTCGTACGTGATGAAAGTTGTGTCATAAACACGGAAACCCTCTCCCCTCCTCTCTGGCACCCGTGCACAACTTAGTTGAGCTTCTGCTGGAGCTGGCAGCAGGTGAGTGCCAGGGCGGGCTTCGAGGGCATACTCGTAAATAAAATGAAATAAAATAAATCAAAACATAATTTTCGCAATAAATTTGGTTTTTACAAAACGCTGAATGCAAATCTAATTCCTTTCGCCCTGCGAAACGTGTATCGAAGTTTCGCCCAGCGCTGCTTCACTGCTGTCTATACAATTTATAGCCGAGTTATGCAATTTCCCTTTGCAATCGGTTTATAAACCAAATATGATTTTAAAAACAAACGGCTTTAGCGATTGTATGCATATACTCGTATATGGATTCAATTCTGTGTGAAACTGGTGACCCAATTCAATTTTCTTCGAGTTTTCAATGGTAAAAGAAAAGGACAATCATGCTACATATGTAAATCCGACGTATGGTACGTAAATGCAATCCTTTCTTAGGGATTTACTATTAAATCTGTTCATAACGAACTGATTAATTATCTTGCAAACAATCCCGTTCATTGCTTAGCGCAATCTGATTGGTGGAGATATTAACATGATTTGAATTGGCATCGAGACACGTCAACACAATTATATTGGGTAACAAGAGGCAAGATTTATTATGCCAGCGCAGTTTCTGTTCCCCGAAGCGAGCCACAAACATGCACGTAACGGATGCGGTTGCTGCCCGTTCCCCCGTCGCGACGGGCAGGGTAGGTGGGCGTGTCCCGACGCTCCGACAATTGTCAAAATCATCGCCATAACTCACGTGTTGCCAGCAACAGAAACAATCGAACGACAGTCGGACAGACACAGGGACAGGCCCAGGGACAGAGGAAGGGGCGAACAGGGGCTGAGTGAGTGGCAGTGGCAATTCAATTGAAGCAGATCTGCTCAAAATGCAAATGCAAATTACGCAATGATTTACATTCCGATTGACATATTTTAGGCGAACATTTTGCACTTCATTCGCATCCCGGGGCGCGCAGTCGGTGCCGCCCTTTGCGTGTTGCCAAAAGAATCTTTGATTTGCCATTGTCAATGCG